TAATTCTGTATTTTGGGTTCACTTGAGCTCTATGGGTAGTGGGTTGGTGCAAAGGGGTCTGGATTTTACCAAAAGAAAGAGGAGATGGATAGTTTTGCTGGGATTGGTCGGATTTTCCACATACGGTGTGTACAAAGTGTATCACTCCCCTTCTGTGGCCAGAAAGAGAAGGAGATTGTTGAAGCTGTTTGGATCCCTTGTCTTGATTGTCGAAATGGTTTCTGATTCCTCCGAGACAATTTCGATCGTGTCAAGGGATCTGAAGGGGTTTGTCGAGTCGGATTCAGATGAAATCCCCAATAGTTTGAGGCAACTTTCGAAAATCGCCAGGTCTGAGGAGTTCTCTGAATCGGTGGCTCGTGTTTGCCAATCTATGACGGTCGGCATTTTAAGGGGTTACAAGGAGACTAACCGGGCCGAGATCCAAGACCTCAAGGGCCCGGGTTTGTTGGATAGGGTTATGGATAAATTGATGTCAAGTGCAGGTACAGGTTTTGCCTCAGTCGTAGTTGGTAGTTTTGCAAGAAATTTGGTTTTGGGATTTTATGCAAGTCATGGCAGGTCGGATGAGTCTCACGAGATGTCGAGGTCCTCAGCGTTGCCCACATGGGCGAATGTGGTTTCGGATGATAAGTGCAGAATATTGGTGGCCGATTGCATAAAGACCTTTGTTAGCACAGCAGTTGCAGTCTATCTCGACAAGACAATGGACGTCAACTTTTATGACGAGATGTTTTCGGGCCTCACCAATCCCAAACATCAGAATAAAGTGACCGACGTTTTGGTCTCGCTGTGTAATGGGGCTGTCGAGACTCTCGTGAAGACTTCGCACCATGTGCTGACCTCATCGAAATCGATTGATGAGCGCGAGATATCGAAATTGAGGAACGGGAAAGATGCTGAGGTGGAGGCCCGTGGTTGGGTCAGTAGTGTCTCGTCAACGCTGGCTGTGCCGAGAAATCGGAAGTTTGTGCTTGACGTGACTGGAAAAGTTACGTTCGAGACAGTTAGGTCGGTTGTGGAGTTTTTCCTATGGAAAATGTCTGAAGGTTTGAAGAGGAGTGTGAATGTTGTTCATAAGGAAGTTGTCGAGAGGGGATATGAGGTTGTGAAATATGTTGGGTACAAATCGTCGGTTATTCTTACTGTGTGCCTGGCGTTGTTTTTGCATGTCATAGGAAATACTCGTGAATTGTTGCCTGCATGATGTGATTGATGTTTAAGGAGAAATGCCATAATAGATTTTTGTGTTTGCATTTTTTTCTTTGAAAGAAAGCAATTTTATTGTATTAAAAATGCAGTTTACGTGCATGATTTGAGGTTGAAGCTCAAATATATTTAGTGTGACGTGAAGTTTCTGTTTGAATTCTTGGCCCCTTTTGGGAGTAGCTGCTGATCAGACTATTTGGGTGCAGAGAGAAGGAAAATGCAGTTGGATTCTTTGATGTCTTTGATGCTCAAAAGTTGTAAATTCAGTAACAGAAGTAACAGTCATTGTCAAAAGTATCTTGTTCTGTTGTACACTTTACATTTATATGCATTTGAATATTGGACCGTTCGAAGTGTAATGCCAACAGGATATGATGCGTACAGAATAGATTCATACTGTTCTGGATCAATTTTCTTATCTATTTTGAATATAGGTGTTCCTTCTTCTACATGTGACCAAGTAACATGAGCTTCATGCGGGAGAATAGTAGATGTAGATCTGGATATGAGAAGTTTAGAGTCTTTCTATGCTTTTGTGGGGGGATAGTCGATTACTATTTAGAATTAATGTAGTTCGAAAGATTTCACTTTAGTACATAATGATAGGGAGAGTGTTTTGGAGTTGTCTGATAAATTAGAAATGTTTAGACAGTTATTACTGGCAACCATGAAGTTTATGTTTCTTTTCTGCTATGCTTGTGATCCGTTTGAGGCATCGCATTAGGGCTGACATTCAGTAATATGTGTGCTATGCTCATCGTAAATTTGCTCCTTGTTGATCATTATTCAGTGCTGGTGTTTATTTCCTTTTTATTTTTCCTTTCTCCCCGATTTTTTTTTTTTTTTTTAA